GATATAATCAAGATACAATCAAGATGTTCTCTCCTAATCCTATCAATCCTGGTACAATCAAGATAAACTTTCCCAAGATGGCAGCTCCTGGAACAGCTGAGTGTCTTGATCCAAAAATAATGGATTTCTGGATTCTCCTGCAATTTCCCCAGCTATAAACCCTCTGAACCTCCAAACATACCTTTATGTTTGTTACAGAGTTCCAACACCATCTCATGAGTCCTCTTGGCTCAGTATTCCATGTTGTTATTGACCAAGCTCCTCACTACACGTTTACCCAATCCACCATCTTGAAGGTGGAAGGCCTGGTAGTGTAGTTGTTAAAAATCTGCCTGCGAACCCCATGGTCAGCAGCTCAAATCCACCAGGCCCTCTGCATGAGAGAGATGATGCTTTCCGTTAAACAGCCTTGTGGCCCAGTATTCCTTGTTGTTGTTGTTGGAGCTCCTCACTACACATCTCGCTGGTGCTCAAAGTTCTCGCTGCTGCTCAAAGTTCTTGCTGCTGCTCGAAGTTTTCTGGTTAGGCCCTCAATTATATACATTATTATTTCCATAGGGTGGGATTGATGTGAACAGATGATAAGGAATATTTATTTAATTTTTTTTTTTTTTTACATTGAGAAAGTAACACTTTTTCATTAAAATAATAATAAATTTTCTTAAAGTGAAAAAATAATAATACATATTTGTAAAGTGAAAAAATAATCAGAAGGAAAAATGTACTGTTATCTTCTAACAGGTATGGAGAAGATAAACTTTTCAGGAGGAGAACCATTTATTCATGACCGTGGAGAATACCTAGGCAAACTGGTGAAATTCTGCAAAGTGGAGTTACAACTACCTAGTGTCAGCATTGTGAGCAATGGAAGCCTGATCCGGGAGCGGTGGTTCAAAAATTATGGTAAGTTACATTGATTGACATGTCATTTATTGCTGTGTTGCTACTATTTTTATTTTTTCTCTATTTCCTTCCATTCTGGGCCTTAGACCAATCCTGCTAGAGAAAGGAAGGGAAGATAAACAAATCTTACTTACTCTAATCTTTTAAGTTGTGCATAGAGTTATGACATTTTAGTTCTGAGGGACTCTAAGTAAAGAAGCATGGCAAGATAAGTAATAGGGAAAAAAAGTAAGCATAACTATTCTATCTATTCCATTTTGACAAATATTAATTATTTATAGCCTTAACCACTAGGGATAAAAATATCTAATTTTATAGTATTGCAAGTTCTGATCTTATTCTTATTTGCTGTTAATAGTCCATTAAAAAAAAAAAAGTATTTATGTGTTTCATTTAATAGTCTCTTATATCAATTATGTGATTGGACCAAGATAGAAGTTCTTTCTTTTGGCAGCACAGTTTTGAAGAATTTTAACTAAAATAACAATGTTGGGACTAATTTGAATGTCACAGTGTATGGACTGGCTACAATGGAGGAATTAAAGTGATTCCAAAGTTTAGCCAAGATTAAGAATCACTAGATTTTAAGACTGCTGACACTCCTTACAGCTGAGTATTACATAGAGTCTTGCAGGATAAGGCAATGGACTGTAAGTTTCATTTGAACTGCAAGGTGGCAGTTCAAACCCACCAGCACTCCTTGAAAACTCTATATACAGGGTAACTATGACTCAGAGTCAACTTATTGGAGCTTAACAACTATAACTATCAGTATTACATGCATCCAATGTTCATGGAATCTTTGATTGGCATATACAATTAAGTCCTTGGCTACTAACTGGCTGTTTGAGTGCACTCAGATATAGTAGAAGAAAAACTTGGTAATCTACTCCATCACCCACCCACCCTCACCCCCCCCCCAAAAAAAAAGAAAAAAAGCCATCTAAATCCTGTGGAGAGATACATACACCGCAGCAACCTCCTGATAACAGAGACTCAAGAAACTAAGTAAAGGACACACACACACACACACACACACACACAAAATCACACCTTTGGATCCCAGAACACTGTTGATTAAACAGAGTGAACACTGACTGAAAGGAGAGGTAAATCTGGTGACCTGCATCCTAGCACAGAGTAGCAAAGCTATCTTGGGACCCAGAATAAGGAACTCAGGAAAGAAACCTCGAAGAAAGCACAGCTATTGGCAAAGATTAAATAAAATGATAAAATGGGCAAGAGCACCCTTGGGGAGCAACCACATGAGCAGTACAGACTTATAACCAGGGAACGCTGGGGAAGTGCATGTAAATAAAATAGACTGAGTCATCTGAGCCTTAGTTATAGAGAAAGTGTAGGCAGGGATAACATAATCACAGAAGAGTAAAGGGAAGAAATGAGAGAAGGCAAAGACCCTCAATCCAGTGAGTGTAAGAGGGGAGGAATTAATGCACATGAATGCTTCCCTCCCACTATCCTAACCTCATGAGCAGCAATATCTGTATTCCTATGTGCTTACCCACTGTCACCCATCCCCTTGACCCTGGGAACAGTAGCATGCATGCTCTAGGATACTTGCCTTCCCACCTCGTACTGTTCCAAGTCAGTGAGTGTTCATGCCTGTATGCTTGCCCAGGCCCTAACCCACCTCCCATCTGGGTGAGCAGTGGTGACTGTGCACTCCAAGGTTCATCCTCCCACCTCCTACTTCCTCAGTATGGGGAACAGCAGCTGCTGTGAGCTCCCATGCACTCTTACTTCCACCACCTACTGCCCCAACCCAGCAAGCAGTGGCTATCCTGCATTCCTGCAAGTTTGCTAAGCCCCTGCCCACACTTCCACCAAACCACTCCCTGAGTACTCATCCTGTGCGCTCCTGTGCACTCATCCACCCATCTCTCTCTACACCAACCCAACAAGCAGTGGCAACAATACTTCCATAAGTCTACCAACGACCTCCACAACCAGGCTAGATGGAGATCATATTCCCACACTCCCCTATCTGCCACCCACCTCTCTCTGCCAACCCCGCAAGAAGTAGAAAGAGCTCCCACCATATACCCCTGATCACTAACCCAGAAAGTGCCTGAGAGTGTGCACTTGTACACTCTTATGTACACCACATTCCCCTGCTCACACACCTGGCTGGCAGAGTTGAATCCATTCCTACCTTCTCTGATTCCCCATCACACCTATCACACCCAATGTCCTGACCACTCAGTAAATGACATCACCTACTCCCATGCCACTAGACCAATGACAGATGAGAGACAGCATTCATTCAGCATGTCCTCAGCTGCCCTACATAAGCAGCCAGAGGTGTGTACTCACACTGCTAAGCACTGCTCCAAGCACCCAGAGAGATTTGGTGAACGATACAAAGCTGGCAGACTAGCTACCGGTGTAATACACCTGCTTTGCCCACTTGGATATAAAATAACAGAACAAAAAATGAGTACAGAGGAAAAAAAACATATAATCAATCAATAAGAATAATATCTCAATGTCTCAGTAAAAACAGAAAACATTAAATTATATCAAAAAGCATCATATGATGATTCAAATAAGTGGCTACAATAAATGGGGGAAATATCTTATTAAGGAATAAATGGTCTTATGAATATGCCAAGAGACATGTATAATTTCCACCAAGAAGTCAAGAAAGAGATCAAGGAAAACACACACAAACCAAGAAAAGTATTTAAAATAAATAAATAAACAAAACCAAGAAAAGCAGAAAAAACTCTAGAAAATTTTAGAAAAATAAATTCATGAACAAAATGATAAAATGAAAAGAAATTTATTAAACATACAAAAGCAGTAAGTTAAAATACATGTTAACAATACAATTTCAGAAATGGATAACTTAATGGCTAAGGAGCTCTGTTAGAGTTGTTGTTGTTGTTAAGTGCCATCGAGTCGGTTCCGACCCATAGCGACCCTGTACAGGGTTTCCGAGGGTGTAAATCTTTACGGGAGTAGAAAGCCTCA